CAGAACCAAAATAAAAAACCCACAGATATCAACACTAAGACTGCTCATGATGTAATGTAACTAATAAAGAGAAACGGTGATGAAAGGTTTTGAAGTACACGTTTTAGGAGATACAAAAGGCATATTAACCAAATTAAGACATGATATGGTTGTGCATGGGTTTGAAAACACTTGAATTAACATGATCACTTGGCAACCATTTCATCAGTTGGATATTGAATGCACCAACATCTATTCTAGACAGTACGTCCACCCACTTGACATACATATTTCAGCTATCAAGTCATTTCAGAGCATTCCTCAAACACAAGGACAAATATTCCCTCTTTACTGACAACACAACCCATGGCTTGTGTTACTTCTGCTGGTGATACTTGAGTTATAAGATTACATGGTGAGGAATTCAGCTCAGAAGAACCTCGTCTGAGACTGATCCAGAGAGACCAAGGCAAACTGTCTCTATCCAATACAACAGAGGCAAAGTTTTGTTACATAAATATTTCCTAATATAGACCAAATGTGATAAGGTTTAAAATCTAAATTGTTACTATGTGGGATACTTCCAAATAAGTCTATATTACCCTCATATATTACCTTTATAGTTATTTCCAAGTGTTGTGCTGTTGAACATAGACTACAGCGCCACCTGAGGGACACTCTTATTACTACACCTACAGCGTGGACTGACATGTCCTCCACTGTGTCCAAATGTGAAGACAAAGACAGGTTGCAAATGACACACACAACACCCAGCTCTCAATAAACCTTCCCTTAATATATTCAAAACATTCCCCTAACATTCCGTAAACACTGAAGTCTTATTGTTGTCTAACCAATTAGATGTATTAGTACCGTTATCAATGGAAGATCTGCATTGTACATGAGACAGAATTAGTAGTACTGATGAAAACAAATGGACATCATCAGTAGTCAGCTATTAGGAGAGCATGTAATTATTGTCTTTACAGTATGTCTTATTATATATCAAAACCCATATCCTTTATTATGTAATGTTATAACACTCCTGACAAACACACCTCATGTCATAACGTCAGTAACGCTTTCCAAAAAAACACTCAGACTAGCAGATCAGTGGATCTCAGTACCATGGTGAAATAGGGGCCATATTGAAGACTTACTAATTAAAATGAGGTTATTGAGGAGGACCTCCAATTGGTTGGTTGATTGGTTAATTGATTGTTTGACTGACACAATGAGGGATAGGGGGTGATGAATGTGTCCAGCAGCACGTCCATGATGGAGTTGCAGACGCACAGGGGGTTGAGGGGTGAGGGGCTCTTCTCTTCCCCCTCTCCCTCCTCCGATCACTTTCTTTTCACTCATCTCCCTTCATCTTCATCTGCGCCTGCATCTGGGTAATCATCTCCTGCATACGCCTCAGCTACAGAGAGAAGAGAAGGAAAAAGAGAGAAGAGAAGGAAAGACAGAGAGGGAAAGGGATAGTTGAGTAAAACAAATACCAGAGGCTATCAGCCAGGAGAATACATCCGCCTAACTTTCCTAGAGCCTCTATGTAAAACCACCTTTTTTCCAACAGAACATATCTCCATCTAGTGGTCGTGGATAGAACTTCAAGTGGATAATTTGACTTCACACCCAACTGGGATCAAATGGACTCATACTAATTTTCACACTTGTGTGTGACTGAATAAAATATTTGCATTGATACTTAAATTTACACTAAAGCAGGTTAGTGCTCTTTAGAGCTCTGTGTGTTGCAGACTGAAGGAATACGATCAAACGTAACACTTCGCTAAGCTGATCTGGTATCCCAAGCTGCTTGCTACAAGAATGCAAGTCTATAGTGTGTGACTCTGCCTAATCAGTCACAGCCCCAGTTTGTGACCAGTGTTAAAAACTACACCAAACCTCTGCAAAAGACAGCCCAGGTTCGATAGACTCTGGTCTCCACTACTCAACTTAATCTCAAACTGGCCAGAGTGAATGGGGTGATTAAGAAAATGTGTGTGTATACAGTTGAAGTCGGAAGTTTACATACACTTAGGTTGGAATCATTAAAACTTGTTTTTCAACCACTCCACACATTTCTTGTTAACAAACTATAGTTTTGGCAAGTCGGTTAGGACATCTACTTTGTGCATGGCACAAGTAATTTTTCCAACAATTGTTTACAGACATATTATTTCACTTATAATTCACTGTATCCAGTGGGTCAGAAGTTTACGTACACTAAGTTGACTGTGCCTTTAAACAGCTTGGAAAATTCCAGAAAATGATGTCATGGCTTTAGAAGCTTCTGATAGGCTAATTGACATCATTTGAGTCAATTAGAGGTGTACCCTGTGGATGTATTTCAAGGCCTACCTTCAAACTCAGTGCCTCTTTGCTTGACATCATGGGAAAATGAAAAGAAATCAGCCAAGACCTCAGAAAAAAAATTGTAGACCTCCACAAGTCTGGTTAATCCTTGGGAGCAATTTCCAAACGCCTGAAGGTACCACGTTCTGTACAAACAATAGTACGCAAGTATAAACACCATGGGACCACGCATCCGTCATAACGCTCAGGAAGGAGATGCGTTCGGTCTCCTAGAGATTAACGTACTTTGGTGCGAAAAGTGCAAATCAATCCCAGAACAGCAGCAAAGGACCTTGTGAAGATGCTGGAGGAAACAGGTACAAAAGTATCTATATCCACAGTAAAAGTAGTCCTATATTGACATAACCTGAAAGGCCGCTCATCAAGGAAGAAGCCACTGCTCCAAAACCGCCATAAAAAAGCCAGACTACAGTTTGCAACTGCACATGGGGACAAATATTGTACTTTTTGGAGAAATGTCCTCTGCTCTGATGAAACAAACAGAACTGTTTGGCCATAATGACCATCGTTATGTTTGGAGGAAAAAGGGGAACGCTTGCAAGCCGAAGAACACCATCCCAACTGTGAAGCAGCATCATGCTGTGGGGGTGCTTTGCTGGAGGAGGGACTGGTGCACTTCACAAAATAGATGGCATCATGAGGAAGGAAAATTATGTGGATATATTGAAGCAACATCTCAAGACATCAGTCAGGAAGTTAAATCTTGGTCGCAAATGGATCTTCCAAATGGACAATGACCCTAAGCATACTTCCAAAGTTGTGGCAAAATGGCTTAGGGACAACAAAGTCAAGGTATTGGAGTGGCCATCAATAAGCCCTGACCTAAATCATATAGAAAATGTGTGGGAAGAACTGAAAAAGAGTGTGCGAGCAAGGAGGCCTACAAACCTGACTCAGTTACACCAGCTCTGTCAGTAGGAATGGGCCAAAATTCACCCAACTTATTGTGGGAAGCTTGTGGAAGGCTACCCGAAACGTTTGACCTAAGTTAAACAATTGAAAGGCAATGCTACCAAATACAAATTGAGTGTATGTAAACTTCTGACCCACTGGGAATGTGATGAAAGAAATAAAAGCTGAAATAAATCATTCTCTCTACAGCTGTTGGCTGGGCTCCCTGCCTGTGCCATTAAACACCTACAACTTATCCAGAACGCTGCAGCCCGTCTGGTGTTCAACCTTCCCAAGTTCTCCCATGTCACCCCGCTCCTCCACACACTCCACTGGCTTCCAGTTGAAGTTCGCATCTACTACAAAACCATGGTGCTTGCCTACGGAGCTGTGAGGGGAACGGCACCTCCTTACCTTCAGGCTCTGATCAGACCCTACACCCAAACGAGGGCACTACGTTCATCCACCTCTGGCCTGCTAGCCCCCCTACCTCTATGGAAGCACATTTCCCGCTCAGCCCAGTCAAAGCTATTCGCTGCTCTGGCACCCCAATGGTGGAACAAGCTCCCTCACGACGCCAGGACAGCGGAGTCACTGACCACCTTCCGGAGACACTTGAAACCCTACCTCTTTAAGGAATACCTGGAATAGTCTAACAGTAATCCTTCTACACCCCCCCTCCCCCAGTGGTGGTTGTCCCACTGGCTATCCTAAATTGAATGCACCAATTTGTAAGTCGCTCTGGATAAGAGTGTCTGCTAAATGACTTAAATGTAAATGTAATTATTCTGACATTTCACATTCTTAAAATAAAGTGGTGATCCTAACTGACCTAAGACAGGGAATTTTTACTAGTATTAAATGTCAGGAATTGTGAAAAAACTGAGTTTAAATGTATTTGGCTAAGGTGTATGTAAACTTCCGACTTCATGTTAGGTGCTGTAAAACTCATTTTGTGCTCATTGTCTCAACATAAGATGGAAATATCTAACATGATTTCTGATCGTGCCGCTGCAAATGTATTGTTCGTTTTATTTGTTCAGTTATTTTATTCTATTACTTTTGTCTTCCGTGAATGTGGATTGTGTTTTGTTTGTTGACTGAAAAACAAGAGCACATAATAATACACTAAGACACTTAATGGGTCTTCAGAATATTATCTCTAAAGAATCTATTTCTGATTGACTGAAAACTTCTGTCCCTCTTCATCAAATAGTACCAGTAGTAACATCAGTCAAGGAACAGAAACCTTGAAAACATATTGCATACGAAACCAATCTGACCTACCATAAAGACACAGCCATAGAATTAGGAACAGAAACCTTGAAAACATGGTGTACGAAACCAATCTGACCTCCCATAAAGACACAGCCATAGAATTAGGAATAAGAATAGTAATTTAATAGGATCTCTATGGACACAGCCCCCACCAGCAGCCCAGCCAGTGTAAACCCTGTATACAATACTCTTTACATCGCCTGACTCATTTCCACCACTTAACTGGGACAGGACGTCAGATATGTCATATCCTGTACAGACATGCATGTTTACTAACAGCTGTAATTGCATGTGCATGTTTAATAACGGCTTTAATTGCACCCCACCCCACCCTGTTATCTATATACATCGCAATGGCAAAACAAACAGGCCAATCAGAGGCAATTAGGAAGCAGAGGGTCATGTTTTATTCTCTGACAGATCACTGGCTCCATGGTTTAGAATGGCCAAAAAGGGTAGAGGCAAACACCATTGTCTCTCATGTTAACCCTGTAGAAGCTACTCACCTCAGCTTCCTTCTGCAGGAGAATCTGGTCTTTATCAACCACATCCTCCTCCACAGCTCTGTAGGGGAATAATAAGGAACATATTACTGTAATAACCTCAGCATCAACCAGCCTGTGTGTGTGTGTGTGTGTGTGTGTAAAACACTGCATATAGGAGACTGACCTGCCAGCTCTCTTCAGTCTCTCTGAGCGGAAGTTCTCGTAGTGCAGGTCCTGAGTGACCTCCTGGAGGTCCTGCATGTGGGTGCTGGACACACAACCATCACACGTATCAGTATCACTATTGGGCTAGTGGGAACCCCCATAACACCCACACACAACCATCACACGTATCAGTATCACTATTCGGCTAGTGGGAACCCCCATAACACCCACACACAACCATCATACGTATCAGTATCACTATTCGGCTAGTGGGAACCCCCATAACACCCACACACAACCATCATACGTATCATATCATACATCGGCAGTGGACCAAACACCACACACCAATCAACATAGCATCAGTTATATTCGGCAGTGTGGGAACCCAAAACCCACAGCACAAACACCATATGTACCCTATCATGTTGAACCCCTAGAACTACTCACCTCACTATCCTACCCTGCAGGGAACCGCTTTACCACACCACAACCCTCCACGATCGTAGGGACTATCAGGCAGTAGGAACATACCCCAGCACACAACCACACTGTAGTGTGTATATCGTGTGTGTGGTAAAACACACATATATAGATCACCTGGAACCGCCATACTCTCTTCCATCCTCTCACCGAAGTTCCTTCGTAGTGCATCCCCACACCACCTGCGACAGGTCCTCATGTGGTGTGCTGACACCACAACACAACCATCACACGTATCAGTATCACTATTCAGGCTAGTGGGACCCCCCATACTTACCCACACACACAACCATCACACGTATCAGGTATCACTATTTCGGGCTAGTTGGGAAACCCCCCATAACCCCCACACACAAACCATCACACATATCAGTATCACTATTCGGCTAGTTGGGACCCCCCATAACACCCCACACAAACAACCATCACACGTATCAGTATCACTATTCGGCTAGTGGGAACCCCCATAACACCCACACACAACCATCACACGTATCAGTATCACTATTCGGCTAGTGGGAACCCCCATAACACCCACAACACCACAACCCATCACACGTATCAGTATCACTATTCGGCTAGTGGGAACCCCCATAACACCCACACACACAACCATCACACGTGTCAGTATCACTATTCGGCTAGTGGGAACCCCCATAACACCCACACACACAACCATCACACGTGTCAGTATCACTATTCGGCTAGTGGGAACCCCCATAACACCCACACACACAACCATCACACGTGTCAGTATCACTATTCGGCTAGTGGGAACCCCCATAACACCCACTAGACTAGACTACACCACTTGACGAAGCAACAGATGGGCAGACTTGAAGTTCTCTATTCATCCACTAGGTGGCAATATAGTAATACATATCAAAGGAAAGCAGGGATAAGAGCATGCATAGATTCCTTTACATGTGGTATTATAGGCTACCTGTTCGTACATTTGATTAATTGGTTTGTAAACAAAAGTTGCATTGCATTGTCGTGGTGACTCACACAAGCATGGTGCGTAGTTTGAGGAAGTCGTTGTGCTCTGGGTTCTCCACCTCTACGACCCCCCAGGGGTAGAGACGACCTCTGATCTTCTTCCCTTTCACCTCAATCAGCTGGTTCGAACCAATCACAGCAAACGGAATGCTCGCCTGAGAGAGGGGGAGGAGTAAAGAGGGTGAGATGGATACAAGGGTGAGGAAGATAAGGGGAGCGAAAGAGGAGACAGAGAGGAGTGTGAGAACGGAGGGAGGTAGAGATAGAGGGATCAGGGAAGGAAAGAATGACCAGATGGTTCAGGGTTGACATAACGCTGGCCTATTCAAAAGACAATCAACAGGTTTAGTTTCAATATTATGATCATTCTAAAACTCATGCCCTGTGGTTAAGAGAGAAACTACATAACAAGTGGTTCTATCTGTTACTTCCAGTTCATTCTGGTAGTGGTGTTTCTCCTTGGGTTCCTTTCTCTTAGTTGGTGTTAGTATTTCTGTGGCTACGTCCCAAATGTCACCCTATTACCTACATAGTGCACTACTTTTGACCAGATGGCAAAGCAGTGCACTACATAGGGAATATGGTGCCATTTGCCTGTGTGTGTCATACCTTCAGTACTCGTGTCTGCTCCTTGAACTCCTCATCCTCGTCTGAGTCAGCGTCTGGCAGCTGGTAGATCCTGATGCCATGCTCTGCAATCTCATCCAGGATCTAACACAGAAACACACACACACAGGATCAACACACAGGGTCACAACCCCGCCGTGACCTTCTCACCTCTCAAACTTTCTCAGGTCAATCCTCATCCTCAAGGAGGCAGATAAAGTTGCCCCTAGGCACTGATCTAAGGTCAGTTTTGCAATCTGTGCCTAAGGGCAACCTGTACCGGCCGGAGCCGCCCCCAACCCAGCAGCAATCCCTCTCATCTGAATTAGGCAGTCGGCCATTTTTTCGATGGCAGTCATGTTGGGCTGAGAGACTATCAATTCCACAGTTGGACAAGAACATGCTCCCTCTGCAACATAATGAGGCTGTCACTGCTGTCTATCAGGCCTCTCTTCCCTCTGTTCTCGCTCTCCTCTCTGCTGTGTCACTGTTTCAGACATGGCCCAGCCTCCATGACAGGAGCGGGATTCTAAACACGCCATTTCCATCTCCCTCTTATTACTTCTAGTTCTACCCACTTGCCCCGGTCCTCAACACTATCTGGAGAATAAAACATCCCACCCAATTAAGTTCACTCCCCTACACCTCTTCAGGGCGACACCAGGAGAGGCCTGTTGACTACACTACAATCAGTCCACTACTGCACTGCAAGAGAATACCTGGTGTGTTTGTGCAGCCTCACAGACCCAGGGACTTTAATGAACTACCCCTAGGGCGGAGACGGGGGAGAGAGAGGGGTGGGTGTGTGATGTCTAACAGAGTCATAAGGAAAGTTCTCCCCCCTCCTTTGTTCAACCCCCAGCGGTGAAATAACAAAAACCTTTTTTCACAAGTATCTAGGGGACAGATGGAAATATTTATTTTATCCATCAAAAGGTATGTTTTTCTCTGTTTTCTCAAGAGTAAAATTGAATTAACAATGCATGAGTGTTGCGTAACCGAGCCCAAAAATGTCAAGTGTTGTTTTCCTGACATTTTGGGGTCTTTCATGTAATCTATAAAGTACAGTAGAGATGGAGGCAGGAACCCAGGATGTGAGAGCAGCTTTTTCCTACAGGGCAGGCCACTGTTCCAGCTCCTGTTATGGTTGTGGGTTGTTTTCTCAGAGTAGAGTGTGCGTGTTATAGGGTGTGTGGGGAGAGGAGGGTATTGTTAAGGACAACTGAAAACAAACAGACCTACTGGACCCGGAGGACAGCAGGACACATAACAAGACCCGCTCCCCATCACACCACACACAAGACCTGTGGGTTCTTCCCACACATAACAGACAAGCATCAGTATGGTGGGGTAGGACTCTGGGAGTTTGGCAAACGTGACATCGAGGGGAAAATAAACAGATATCACACAATGGCAGGAAAAAAAGTAACAAACAACAAAACTGGTTACGTCAATCCACAGTTTAAAATGCTGAAAGAAATGTGAAATACGTCTCTGAATGTATCAGAGGTGGGAGGGATACAGAAGGAGCCTCCTGCAAAGCCTCAGCGACCAACAATACACTCAACAACCAACTACCATAACAAAAGGTTTAATGTGAATCATGCAGTGATATCAGGGGGAGTTCTATGGGAAAGCTGGAGTTGCATCTCAACTGAGGAATTTAACTAAAAACAGAATGTTTAGTCATGGTTTCCAACCTCTCAACAGGTGTTTGGACCTGTTCCCCAACCTGCTAAGCCTAATAACTATTTACCTGGATTGACCTAACATCTATTTACAGCAGCCTGACTTAACCAACCACACCTGTAATCACTAGCTTCAGGGGTGATGAGGTGTTCAAACCACTGCCTGGTCGAAATACATCTAAATGACATATAACATGTAATGTTGGCCAAGTCAATTCTAGTTATCATCCTATTTATTCATCTTTCTTTTCTATACTCATTCATCACACTTTAAAGTCACTGAAAATAAGTCAATTTCATAAGCTTGCATTTAAAGTGACGTTTAGCAGTCATCTAGCAATACAAGTAATCCTGACAGAGATATTGGGCTTTTGTACAGGATACCAGGCCTCTTAGTTGCTACATCCTGCGCTGCTGTAACATACAGTATTAACATGCTCCTACACCAGCCTCTCTCCTTACTGTCTAACTAGATGGCTGATTACAGTCCTGTGTTGTAATTGGCAGAGGGAAGGTGGATATGGGGGCCATTTTGGTTTTTATGACCAACCAGCTCTACGTCTCTCTCTTTGTCTCTCTCTCTCTGCCTCCGTCTCTACCTCTCTCTCACCCTGCCTCTCTCTTGCTCCCTCGCTCTCTGTTGCTGTGTTTGAGTTGGCAGGCCAGGTCTCTGGTAACAATGGCACACAGGGCTCTGCCTCAGTATTAATTAGAAAAGGAAGTGAGAGCTTCTGATTTAAAGGCTTAGTTTGTTTTGATACGTGATCTAATATGACTGTGTGTAAGTAGAGTCGTGATGAGGAGGAAACATTCCCCTTGGGGGAAATAAATGATAAGGGTGGGGAGGGACATTCTTACTTTATGGGGTTTATGGAGACAGTGAATATGATAAGTTGAAACACTTTTATGTCCCAAATGGCACCCTATTTCCTACATAGTGCACTACTTTTTGACCAGGGCCCATAGGCTCTATATGTAATCTACAGTTGAAGTCGGAGGTTTACATACACCTTAGCCAAATACATTTAAACTCAGCTTTTCACAATTCCTGACATTTAATCCATGTAAAAATTCCCTGTCTTAGGTCAGTTAGGATCACCACTTTATTTTAAGAATGTGAAATGTCAAAATAATAGTAGAGAGAATGATTTATTTCAGCTTTTATTTCTTTCATCACATTCCCAGTGGGTCAGAAGTACATACACTCAATTAGTATTTGGTAGCATTGCCTTTAAATTGTTTAACTTGGGTCAAACGTTTCAGGTAGCCTTCCACAAGCTTCCCACAATAAGTTGGGTGAATTTTGGCCCATTCCTCCTGACAGAGCTGGTGTAACTGAGTCAGGTTTGTAGGCCTCCTTGCTCGCACACACTTTTTCAGTTCTGCCCACACATTTTCTATAGGATTAAGGTCAGGGCTTTGTGATGGCCACTCCAAAACCTTGACTGTGTTGTCCTTAAGCCATTTTGCCACAACTTTAGAAGTATGCTTGGTGTCATTGTCCATTTGGAAGACCTATTTGCGACCAAGCTTTAACTTCCTGACTGATGTCTTGAGATGTTGCTTCAATATATCCACATAATTTTACTTCCTCATGATGCCATCTATTTTGTGAAGCGCACCAGTCCCTCCTGCAGCAAAGCTCCCCCACAGCATGATGCTGCCACCCCCGTGCTTCACGGTTGGGATGGTGTTCTTCGGCTTGCAAGCGACCCCCTTTTTCCTCCAAACATAACGATGGTCATTATGGCCAAACAGTTCTATTTTTGTTTCATCAGACCTGAGGACATTTCTCCAAAAAGTACAATCTTTGTCACCATGTGCAGTTGCAAACCGTAGTCTGGCTTTTTTATGGCGGTTTTGGAGCAGTGGCTTCTTCCTTGCTGAGCGGCCTTTCAGGTTATGTCGATATATGACTTGTTTTACTGTGGATATAGATACTTTTGTACCTGTTTCCTCCAGCATCTTCACAAGGTCCTTTGCTGTTGTTCTGGGATTGATTTGCATTTTCCGCACCAAAGTACGTTCATCTCTAAGAGACAGAACGCGTCTCCTTCCTGAGCGGTATGACGGCTGCGTGGTCCCATGGTGATTATACTTGCGTACTATTGTTTGTACAGATGAACGTGGTACCTTCAGGCATTTGGAAATTGCTCCAAAGGATGAACCAGACTTGTGGAGGTCTACAAATCTTTTTCTGAGGTCTTGGCTGATTTCTTTTGATTTTCCCATGATGTCAAGCAAAGAGGCACTGAGTTTGAAGGTAGGCCTTGAAATACACCCACAGGTACACCTCCAATTGACTCAAATGATGTCAATTGGCCTATCAGAAGCTTCTAAAGCCATAACATCATTTTCTGGAATTTCCCAAGCTGTTTAAAGGCACAATCAACTTAGTGTATGTAAACTTCTGACCCACTGGAATTGTGTTACAGTGAATTATAAGTGAAATAATCTGTCTGTATACAATTGTTGGAAAAATTACTTGTGTCATGCACAAAGTAGATGTCCTAACCGACTTGCCAAAACTATAGTTTGCTAACAAGAAATTTGTGGAGTGGTTGAAAAACAAGTTTTAATGACGCCAACCTAAGTGTATGTAAACTTCCGACTTCAACTATCTATCTATCTATATATACTCAGCAAAAAAAGAAACGTCCTCTCACTGTCAACTGGTTTATTTTCAGCAAACTTAACATGTGTAAATATTTGTATGAACATAACAAGATTCAACAACTGAGACATAAACTAAACAAGTTCCACAGACATGTGACTAACAGAAATTGAATAATGTGTCCCTGAACAAAGGGGAGGGTCAAAATCAAAAGTAACAGTCAGAGTTTTAATGACTCCACCCTAAG